CGTTGTCATGACAACCCCGACTCGCCGAAATTTTTAAAACCCACCGACCTAAGCACTCGCTGCAATCTGATGTTTGCGAGTCAGACATGAACAATTGGGCAGAGCTAGGGGGGGTGACATCACCGCCAATTATTGCCAGTTGCCAGTCAGGCTTAAGCAATTGGGCGAAGCTAGCAGTGACGTCACCGCTAGCTCCGCCTATTTGTTTACGTCTGACTGGCAAATGACAGATTGCGGTGAGTGCTTGGTGGGTGCGGACGGGTCGGCAGGTGTTGGGTTTTTTTATTTTATTTTGGCAAGTCTTTTTTTTTTTCACAATTTTAACCCATTAGTGAATGGGTAGGGTACAGGTATCCCCTTACTCATTCACAAGGTGGGGGTTCAGCATCAGGGTGCCACTTTATTTAAAAGGATACCCTGATGCTAATGGGCCCTCCTGCCCGCAGACTCCTACAGCCACTGGGCAAGGGTTGTGGGGAAGAGGCTTTTTAGGAGGAACCTCATGTACAAAATTTTAAAAAAATGTACCGTGGGTTCCCTCCTAATCTTCCTACCAGACCTAAACCGCTTCCCCCGCTGCCCTATAGCAGATATACTGCGTGAGGAAAGTGCAGCTGACAACCGCCAATTGCATTTCCCGATGATCAGAGTGTCATTGGACACAGCTGATCATGTAGTAATTGGCTGCTGTGATTGACCTTTTACCACATCATGTGATCAGCTGTGTCCGTAAGAGACAGCGATCACGGAGATCGCTGGGTGCGTGCTGTTGGTTATGTGTTAGAGAAGACACTGGTAGCTTGTGATGAGGCAGAATTATGACTTTACTTGTGTGGCTTAAGTTACAAACATACAGAGCACATTTCAGCAGACAGTGACAGCAGACATCTTGCTTTGAGAGATGAGAGAGAAGAAAAGAGAGAACCAACAAGTTTTACACATATGCACAACTAATAACCTTAGTGTACAGTGCCATCTACTGGTCAAGTGATATTAACACACAATACTATATAGTACATGCTGTTGTATCTCCAACACCCCTTCTCAACGGCATGTGCATAATTATATGACATTTAGTCTCTTTTGTACAAAACAATGACGTTCCCTTGGTGTTTTCGCTTCCTTTGCATCTTGCATGTGAAACTGTTCTAACATTTCTGTAATTTTCTGACTTTGTATCTATAGATGTTTCCTTCTGTATCATATTTCACTTTAAAAGTCCATTTGCTTCCAATGGTTTTGCGACCAGGAGGGAGTTCTGTTAGTGACCAAGTTTTATTTTCTTGAAGTGATTTTATTTCTTCTTCAGCTGCTTTTCTCCACTGATCGGCTTCCCTTCTCGGCAAAGTTTCTGTCTTCCCAGGATGTTGGCTCCTGTGTTTGATGTGTTTTAGCAGTGTATGATAACCTGCGGGGTGGTATCCCTTTTGTCATTCGAGAGGATCTTCTGATTTCTTGTTGTTCAGTGGGTTCTATTGGCTCGTTGATTGTAAATTCCACTTCTTGTTCTGGCTCTTGTCCTGCTTCACATGGGTCAGTGTCTCTTGCCGATTCAGCGCATAAGTCCTCTCCACATTTTTCAAGAATTGTATTATCTGGTGCTTCACATTCATCAAAATAAACACTGCGGTTTACTGTGACCTTGTTGGTCTTTGGACAAAGGATTCTATATCCCTTACTCTGCTCACTGTAGCCCACCAGAATGCCTTCTATGGCTTTGTTCTCCAACTTGGAGTGTTTCTGACTTGGAATGTGGGCATATGCTTTACAGCAGCCCGAACACTCTGATGTGTCCTACATTAGGTTTTGATCCATTCCACATTTCATATGGTGTAATCTCAATATCTTTTGATGGGAGCCTGTTTTGTAGGTATGTTGCAGTCATTATTGCTTTCTCCCCAGTATTTGTTAGGTAAGGCAGCGTCCGTAATCATACATCTTGTAATTTCTACAAGAGTGCGATTCTTTCTTTCAGCTACACCGTTTTGCTCGGGAGTGTTTGGTACAGTTGTTTGGTGTATAATACCTTGTTTCTTTAGGTATGATTCCATCTCTTTATTCATATATTTCCCTCCATTGTCAGTGCGTATTATTCCAGGTTTCCTTTGAAACTTGTTGCTTGTCATGGCTACAAACTCTTGAAGTTTTTTCTAATGTCTCACTTTTGTGCTTCATTAGATACGTTATTGTGTACCTGGAATAATCATCGATGAAAGTCAGTAAATATCTGTTCCCGCCAGGTGTGATGGTTTTCATTGGTCCGCACACATCACTGTGTATCAGTTTCATGGGTTTTAATGGTTTTACTCTGACTGGTCTGTGGAAGAGAGGTTCGGGTGGCCTTTGCTTTGATGCAACACGTGCACTTGCTGAGTGTGTGGCAAGGCAATATTTTCATGTCTTCTGATAGACCTCTCTTTGCAAAGTCCTTTATAGCTTCTGGGTTTCGATGCCCCAATCTTCTATGCCACAGCTGGATGCACTTGTCATGTGGGTTATGAGTTGCCGCATTAGCCTTTTCACTTTCAGTGACGAGTTTGTACAGATGTTCATTTAATCTTCCTCTTGCTAGAATTTGCTTTCCATTTTGAATTGTGCATTCATCACCTCTGAACTGGACAGTGAGTCCATTGCTTGCAAGGGTTCTAACTGATAGGAGGCTTCCTTCTAGGCTTGGAACATATAGAACATTCTTTACAAGGATGCTCTGCTTGCCCCCTGATGGCGTTTTGCAGTTCAGAAATCCCTGACCTTTACCTTCCACTGTAATACTTTTCCCATTTGCTAGGAAGACTTTATCTTTTACACTAAAATCAATTTCTGTGAAGAATGTTTCGTCGCTTGTCATGTGACTTGTTGCCCCTGAATCAATGTACCATCCGTGTGAGGTACTATTCTGAGTCACTTTAAAAGTACCACTCCATGATGCACTTTCATTTTCTTTCATGACAGCTTTAGCTCTTTCTCTTGTGGGCAGCTCCCGCTTTTGCTGCTCAGCTTTCCAGATTGAACAGTTTCTTTTTCAGGTGACCGGCCTTTTTGAAGTGAAAACATACCCTGGTTTCTTTGCTTTGTCTTATGCCTTCATGTACCTTCAGAGCTGCCTCTGGTCTCTCGTTCTCTTCACGATGCTAATTTTCCTTTCTTCTGCTGTATTCATCAATTAATTTTCCCTTAACATATTCTAGCGTCAGTTCAGTTTCCAGTCTAGTTTCTAGAGCATTTATAAGGGCACTGTATGATTCTGGAAGGCTGCATAGACGTAGTGCCACAACATGGTTGTCTTTTATTTCTTCACCTATTGCACCCAGCTGGTCCACAATTTCTAGCATAGCATTTACATGTTCACCCATTTCCTGCCCTTTTTCCAGCCTCATTTTATACAGTTTGCGTAGCAGATATAGTTTACTGTTTAGGTTTGCACGTTCATGCAGTGTTTGTAATGCAGTCCACATACCTTTAGCTGTGTTTTCTTTCCTTATATGAAGGAGTTGATCGTCCTCCACTAACAGGCTTATGACTGCTTTTGCTTGCCTGTTTTTTCTGTCCCATTCTTCCGGGTTGTCATTGGGTCTGTGTGTATCTAGTACCGGCCACAAGTCATCTTTGGATAACAGCATTTCAAGCTTAAACTTCCATAGTTGGTAGTTGGTATTGTTGAGCTTTGCTATTGTAAACTTCATATCTGAAGCACTTGCCATCTTTCAGTGAATGGGATACAGCTCTTGTTTCCTCACACAGGATTTGGTAGGATTGTAAATGCAGCACTTACTTGCTTGTAGTTTTCCTTTTTCCAGTGTCTGGAGCTGGGCCCATAACCTGTTGGTTATGTGTTAGAGAAGACACTGGTAGTGATGAGGCAGAACTATGACTTTACTTGTGTGGCTTAAGTTACAAACATACAGAGCACATTTCAGCAGACAGTGACAGCAGACATCTTGCTTTGAGAGATGAGAGAGAAGAAAAAGAGAGAACCAACGAGTTTTACACATATGCACAACTAATAACCTTAGTGTACAGTGCCATCTACTGGTCAAGTGATATTAACACACAATACTATATAGTACATGCTGTTGTATCTCCAACACGCGCACCCAAGAGCGTGCAGGAGAGCACATTCTGGGAGGGCGTCATATGATGGACGTCCATGGACGTCATCCCACAACGCGCCCACAGTGGCACGCACCCAGCTGTGTCTTACGGACACAGCTCATCATGTGATACAGTAAACGGCCAATCACAACGACCTTTTGCCACGTGATCAGCTGTGTCCAATGACACAGCAGATCACCAGGTAAATACAGTTGCCGGTTATCGGCTGCACTTTCCTCACACTGCCACAGCGTGAGGAAAGTATTGCCGATAACTGGCAATTGTAAGAGAAGTGATCGGCACTGATGATCAGTGCCTAGCAGTGCCGCCCACCTGTGCCCCTCAGTACCTAGCACTGCCACCCACCTGTGCCCAGCAGTACCACCCATCAGTGCCACCTATCAGTGCAGCATCATCAGTGCTGCCTATTAGTGCTACCTCAAAACTAAATGCGCACTGTTGTTTCTGGGCTGTACTACAGGTACAAACAACAAACACATTTATGGTATTGCTGCGATTGTCAAAAGCTGAAAATTTTATTTTGGGTTGTTCTTTGGTGATAGGTTATGGTAGTAACAAGAAACACACCGCTAAATTTAAAAAGATTATTTTTTATTACTATTTTGGGCCAGTTTTCCTTTGATAATAAAAAACAATTCAGGAGATATTGATTACCATTTACCCTCAAATGAAAGCCCAATTTGTCCAGAGAAAAAACGCGGTGTAATTCACCTGGATGTACAAAATAGTTGTGATGATATGTACGGTTTTACTAACACATGTCAACGTTGCAAAATTGTACTTAGGCATTAAGATTTGTTTTTAAACCCTTAGGTGTGAAGGGGTTAAAGGCTTTTTAAAAAAAAATTCTGTTAAAAAAAAAAACTAAAAAAAAAAACGTGTAAACGTACCTGCTGTGTGCAGTGGTCTTGCACAGAGCAGCCCGGATCCACCTCTTCTTGGGTCCCCCGCAGGCTCTCCTGGCCCCTCCCTCCTGTCGGGTGCCCCCACAACAAGCAGCTTGCTATGGGGGCACCTGCTGCTCAGTGTTTCCATTCACACATGGAGCCATGTCTCGGCCCTGGCCCCTCTCTCTTCTGGCTCACTGGCTGTGATTGATAGCAGTGGGAGCCACTGTAGCCAGCCAATGAGGAGAGGGAGCCCTGAAAGAGCCAAGACTCCAGTGCACATTTCTGGATCGAGAGGGGGTTAGGTGAGTATTGGGAGAGCTGGGGGGATGCTGCACAGAGAAGGTGTTTTACCTTCAGGCATAGAATGTATTAAGGTAAAACCTTCAGCCTTTACAACCACATTAATTATTTATATATCTCTGTCAGTTGATGCAGCGCTGTACATATATTTTGTACATTCACATCAGCTGCCGACCTCAAGGGGCGTACAATATAAGGTTCCTAGCTCATATTCGTACATACACATACTAAGGCCAGTTTACCCAGCAGCATGTCTTTGGAGTGTGAGAGGAAACCAGAGGAAACACATACAGGCACAGGGAGAACGTGCAAACTCCAGGCAGGTAGTGCAGTGTTTAGGATTTGAACCAATGACCCGAGTACTGCCGGCTAGAAGTGCTAACCACTTAGCTACTGCGATGCCCACAGCCACTGTGATGAACCTATAGAATTTTCCAGTCTACCTGTCACTTGTGTTGCTCTTACTGAGCAAGAAGTGTCCTCTGCTAACAATGCCTAGTGTTTTTGAGAATGCCATACCCCATTGTCCTCCCCTATTTTCAAGTTCTATCAGCAAATACACTTCAAAAAGACAACCCCTAGAAAAATCAAACATTGCTACCAAACTTAGCTCACTTCAACTGGCGGTTGCCATCTTTCAAACAGTTTGTATTTTAAAACATGATAACGAGAGGTACATACACTAAAGCAGATTTATATTGTTGAGAGAAATCATAATACCCAGCACCTACATTTTAATTGCAATAGTATTGCTATGAATATATTAAATATGAAGGCACAGTCGCAGTTTAGGCAATTTCCCTTCAAATTTGAGGTGGCTACAGTGGCGTTTCCAATTTGAATTGGCAAAATGGACGGCCGTGAGTTGGCAAACAAATGCGGTCATATTGTGAAAACTATCAAGACTATGGTTACAATGCTGATGGACATATTTTAGAGGGCAGAAAGGCGCTGGGATAGCTGAACCGTTTTGATATAAGATACTGTGTAGGTGAGCTTACGAAAAATGGAGGATGTGTGATGGGCAGTTTAGAACCAATCATGTCCTGATTTTTCCGCTCACACTCTATCTTTGGGTCAGCTCCCACTCTAGTTTTGAACATTCCGCCAATATTCATTCCTATGGGACCAATTTCAAACCACAAAAAACGCCGATTCTTTCTGTTGAACCATCGGCGATACGTTTTCCACGCAGTGGATAGACACCACAATCGGGAAACAATCCGCAACGATTTGGTACCTAATTACTGTCTATGTAGTCGTAACAAATCAGTGGAGACGAGAGTTTAGGGGGGTAAATTTTGGGCTAATATTAATAAGAGAAATCATGTGAGATAACTGTAAGTCGGTCTGCTCTATGCGGAGAACACTTAATTTATATTATTATATGTCTAATACTCTGATGGTAATGATGATCGTGCTATTGTAGGTGCTAATCCTTTGGATGGACTAATTCGCTCTGTACAGGATTCACAAAGAGCAAAAAGATGGAGACGAGCAGGCAGAGGAGCTGCAGTTATTGGTAAATTGAATCGTTGCTGCTTATTATTTTATTCACTTATTACTAATTTGGGGACACAATCTCTGGCGGGGGGGCTGCAAGTGACCCTTCGACACCCCAAAAATGCCCGGTTTTCGGGGCCCCCGCGACAAAATCTGTTTTCTTTGCCTTTGGTCCGTTAGGATTAAATTTATTTCCCCCTTTTCCCTTTTTTTTTTTTTAAATTTCCCCTCCATTCCCTTTTTTTTTTCTGTTTTTTTTTTCCAAAATTAATTTAAAGGATCTTGCTTGGGGAAAAAATCTCAAAAGTTTACCCTGTTTTTTAAAGGGGAAGGGGGTGGGGAAATATGTGGGGTCATTGATTTTTTAAAGAAATGATTTGTAAAGAAAGTGATCTTTTAGAAGTTCCCCCGTCCTTAATTTAACCCCATACAGCATGTTTGCCCGTCCTTTACCCGTTTCCCGAAAACCCCGTTGGTCTTTCCTGTTTTACGAATTTCCTGCGTCTTGACAAGGGACCCCTGTAGCATTAAAGTTTTACTAAAATATTTGGGCGGGGCCTTTGAGTTTTCAGAAAGGGCCTTCCTTTAAAACCCCTTTCCTAAACCCCTAATTAAAAGGGAAAGTGGTAAAAGCCCAAAAATCCAAGGGTTTTGGGGGAGAAGGGGTTCCTATGAAGTTCTCCAAGGGGTGGCCGCCAGCAAGGGCCAAAAAAGGGAAAAGTCTGTGAACCCCGTGTTCCCTTTGGACACAGGCTGATCACAACACCGTAAATTGGGGCCCAAACCACGAGGACCTTTTGGGACCATGTTTTAACAGCTGTGTTCCTCTCAAAGCTTGGGCCCCCTTTTTTAATTTACATTGGGGGTTTTTCCAAACATGTTTCTTTAATTTGTCACGCGTGATGAAAGTACTGCCGATAATGGAAAAATTTTTAAAAAGGGTCCTCGAATGATATTGAGGGCACTTGGGGTTTCAGGGCCCCCATAATTTATTTAAGGGCCCCCAAAAGGGGGCCCAACGGCTTCAAAACAGGGGCTCAGCATGCTGCCCCCTCAGGTCCAAAAAGTGCAGCCCAAAACATTTTTTCAACAAATTTGCCCCGGGATGGTTTCCAATTCTTTGCCCAACAGGCCCCTTTAGCCCGTGTTTCCCATCAAACGGGCCCCAAAAGTGCTGGGCCCATCAGTTTTTTAACAGTTCTCCCATCTGTTAAACCCCAAAATGTTGGGCCCCAGTCCCCCAAATTAGGGGCCCTTTTTCGGAAAACCGGAAACCCCCACTGCAATTGGAAAATTTTCCCCTTTTTTAACCCGGGTTCCCCTTTCCCAAAAAACCGACCCCGGGGTAACCAAGCTGACCCTACAAGACTAACGACACCCGGGCTTGGAAAGGAAACCAGGAAATGGGTATTTTATTTTTTTTAAACCCGGGTTCAAAATATATCATTAAGGGAAAAAGGCCCCCCTTTTCCCGATTAAAGAAACAGGGTGGGGCAAATTTAACCCTTTTAAAAAAGAGGGCACACCCAAAAAACCACCCCCCCCCCAAACCAAGTCAAAAAAAATAATCCCAAAAAATAGGGTTTGCAAAACCCCAAACCCAAAACAACAATAGAACAAAGAACAGGAATGCAACCAATTGGCATTAATACCAACAACTCAACACCCCACTCAATTATTAGGGGACCGCTCACTCTGTACCAACCTATACAGAACCAGGGTGACTTACCTAATTCGGGGATATGGGGCGCTGAGCAGAGGTCTCCCACACTCTTCAAAATGCTCGAGCTGTTGTTCTCCATATGGCCCCCCACCAAAGTGATACCATTTCGGCTGGAGGACTACCAAGGAGAAAACCCCAGACCGATGTGGACTTCATAGTTAGTCTGTACTTCCAGTCCCCATGGCAGACCCCACACAGTACCCCAAGCAAAAATAGTCCACACAAAGCTTTTACTCACCAGCCTCTCTGCTCTCCATAGAACATACCCGCCGCTTGGGAAAAGTGAGGGCTGTTCCCTATCCAGAAGTCTATCCTAAGACGTAGAGAGAAGACAGAGGTGGTGGGCAAGATTCCATCATGCTTGTTGGGTTGGGCCCAAATGCCAAAATTCCCCGGGGGTGGCCCGGGGTGGAATTGCAAATGTAATCCAAATTTTACTTTATGGGGCAAAACCCCCTTTTTCGCAAAAAAAGGTTGGGCATCCTCCTGTCCCAATATAACCCCCTTTTGGGGGTTGTGTCAAATGGGAGCCGAAAGTCCCATCCACGGACTCATCTCCAAAAGCGCAGTTGTGAGGGGGCCCCTTGCATCCTCTTTCCCGTGTCCCGCCGGTGTGAGATTGTTGTTGGGGCATAGGTCAAAAAAAGCCAAAGCCTAAAAGCCGGGGTCCCTTCTGCTGGAGGGTGCCCTTTTTTTCCTCCTCAAACACAAAAATCAAAACCCAAAACCCCCGTCTTTTTGGGGAAATGGTTTTTCTGGGGGATAGGGGTTCACCATCCCCTGTCCTTGGGAACCCAAAGAATTTTTAACCCGTGCTGGGAGAAATTTAGCAATTGGTTTTGGGCCCTTTTTTCCCCTATCTTTTGGAGGCTAACCCGGTTGTTTTTTCCCCAGCAGAAAAAGGGCTATCAAATCCCCAATTTTGCAAATTCCCCTCCGAATCTTGGGCGTTTTTTGTGAAAAATGTTTTTTGGGGGTTTTGTATGCCCTTTCCCTAAAGTGTTCTTTCATTTAGCAGTATTCCCCCTCTGGTTCAAAACTTGGGGGACCCTTGTGAGAAACCGAAATTATGGAGCCCCTCTATCTTCTTGCAGTTTCCCAAGGTTAGGTTTTTTTCATCGCTAAACAAACCCAAATGAATTTTTGTTAAGGCTTTTCCCCACAGAATCCAGGGGGCCCAAAGTCCCTTACCCTCCGGGGGGGGGATTCGTTGACAACCCAAGAAATTTTCTGCCCCCTGGTACCATTGCCCGAGCCCGAATCGGTTGTTTAAACCTATCTCCCCTTGGACAAAAGGTGGTCCAACGCAGTCCCAAATTTCTCCCGGGGTCGTCTTTTCCCTTAAAGGCATCCGTAAACTTCCCATGGTTTCCCCGGGCCGTTCCCCTTGGGTTGGATAGCACTTGCCACATCTGTGTACATACCAGCAATTTGGAGGGCTCCACTCTGAAAGTACTCCGATTCGCTGACCTGAGTCATGTACTCATCACAGACCAATACTGGGGTATGTGTGCAGGAACGATCTGCAGTATAGCCCGGGAACTTGACTGACAGATCAATATCTCACTGGGGTGACGACTTTACTCTTTAATGATCTTGATCCGGTGGTGGTTTGGACGTGTTTCAAGCAGGAAGACACAATCCCGCTGCTGCCACCAATGTAACAGAACCGGACCCTGACTGCACTTGGGTACTTCCGTTTGGAGTACCGCTTCCCTGTCCGAATACCGACAACCATGCAGACCATACACAAGACTAGACGACACCAGTCCTCAAATTTAAACCAGTGAAATAGACTACTTTATTTCAAAACACAGATACATAGATATAATACACTCGAAGGGAAACCAATCACCTCCCATTCATCCCCGCATAAATGACACTAGGGGCAGGGCAATCCCTTACAACCCAGTAACAAGAGACACACCAGCACACAGTACCATCAGAGGAAAGGGGCTGCCGGAAAGCTCATCCCCACCAGTCAATACAGACACAAACACTTAATCCCATAATAGTTTGCTCCCAAGCAAGACACACAATAGAACAATGTGATGCAAACACATAGCATTAAACAATTCACAACACACCCCACCCCCACCTATACATGTCTACACAATATTAAGGACATATCAACCCTGCCCCCTAACAGGCACAGGGGTGACTTACACATAAGGGATACGTGCAGCTGGGGTCTACGCCCCACCTCTATCCACAAAGTGAGTGTGTTCTCATGGGCCCCCCACACCAAGTGACTCCCATCACACCACATCATTTGCCTATACCTTATCAGTGCCCGTTTATCAGTGCAGCATCATCAGTAAACCCATCCACTCATCAATGCCCACCAGTACTGCCCATTCATTGCAGCCTAATATCAGTGGCCATCAGTGCTTGCCCTATCAGATTGCTGCTCATCAACGCACATCAGTGAAGGAGAAAAATTACCCCTGTTTTCAAAATTTTAATATAGAACAAAGAAAACCTTAATTTTTAAAAATGATTTGCATTTTTTCTTTTATAGTTCAAACAATAAACCCCCCAATGGTAACTAAATACCACCAAAGGAAAGCTCTCAATTTGTGTGAAAAAAAAAATTTAGTTTTGGGTGCAGTGTTTGCATGACCCGCACAATTGTCAAAGTATGAGAGCGCTGAAAGTAAAAAAACTGGCCTGGGCAGGAAGGGGGTGAAAGTGCCCTGGTAGGCAAGTGGTTAAGCCCCCTGTGTCAGTGGTGGTCAACTTTCTTGTTAAAAGTGTACCTCACGTGTGGCTCCTGACATCACCAAAGAGCTGTACATAATATTCACATGTAACACTACAGAGAATAGGTGGGGTGTGCTCTGGTTGCAGGGTTAACTCTATGTAAGTAGGATGATCGCGGCCAGATGTGTATGAGAGGGAAGCACTGTAGTGCTGGGAGGCCGCCTGTCCTCACTGAGAGTCACAGCCTGGACTCCGGCAGGAGCCATGAAAGGTGAGCCGAACCTAATAGGATGGCGGGTCATGGAGGTGGCAAGAGGAAGACAATGGTCGGGGTAAGGGTTACGGATGCTGATTCATTGAGTTATATAAATTTCAATCAGCACACATAAATATAAAAAATCCTCAAAAATCCCTTAAAGTCATATCAATATCCTTCCCCTGAAGTACCAATAATTAATAAATTAATAGACTTAAACCCAAAATACACAATTACAGTGCAAAATCAAGTCCCAAAGTAATTTCCCAAAAAATTATGCAAAAATAAAATAATCTAAAAATATAAATATAAATAATCAATCAAATAAATAAAAATAAAAAATTCTTTATTTTATTTATTTGATTCATGTATTTATATTTATATTTTTATATTATTTTATTTTTGCATAATTTTTTGGGAAATTACTTTGGGACTTGAATTTGCACTGTAATTGTGTATTTTGGGTTTAAGTCTATTCATTTTTAATGATTCATTGAGTTGTACACCACGTCATGTCCTGAATGATCCTTCAGCTGAGGGGAGGGGTGGCAGAGGGGAACGAAGAAAGGGCAGAGGAAGATGCCAGGTGTCTGGGGCCAGTGTAGCAGCTCAGCTGCTGCTCCTTCTGGTGTTCCTCTCAGACGCAGTCCCTTAATGCAAGCCGGCTGGCGGCTTCTAATCACTGTGGAGTTTTGTAACTCTGTCTCTTCTTGTTGTTTCTCTGTCTGATTGGTTAACACAGTTAATTTATATTTGGTTACTATATAATTTGTCCTTAAGATTGGTGCTGGTGGCATCTATATGGCACTTATTTTTTGAAAATTAAAAGAAATTTAGCAATTTCATGTTTTTCTGATTTATTATTTTCTACAGTTTTTTTTTCTAATTTTATAAAAAAAATTTTGGGGGGGGGGTGCAAGTAGCTGGTCTTGCTAGAGCCCAAAATAGTCTAGCATCGGCCCTGTGTGGCCTCTAGGCCCAGGGGTGGACACCAGGGCTTCATATCAAGAAATTAACCACCGCTGATGTATGTGAATTTTTATAGAAATATGATTCTGTATATAGGGTGGAAAAAAATGAATGCTAGCATGAAAAATAATGAATGAACAACAAAGTCATACCTGTTTATACTATAGAGCAGGGGTAGGCAACCTTAAAGGGATGGAGATCTACCTGAACAACATGGGAGAAGTCAAAGATCAATGGGCCCAGTGTTGCCTCCTGACACTGGATTTAAACCTCTAATTGCCGTACTACCATGTCACAATCGTGTACACTGCTCAGCAAATCAGGTGGTGAGGAGGTAACATATCGCTTCCTCACCACTTTTCGAACACACCTGGACCATTTTGCAGAGGAACAGCACTGCCCCTGCTGCACTTGTAAATGAGCCTTAGTTGCATCTGGCAGTGGCACTTTTGGGGCTCGTTCACATGTAAAGTTGGGGGGGTTAAAATCCTGCAGTTGTGTCAGTTTTAATCGCCCTCCCAATCCCTAACACCCCTTTAGCTGTTGAGGCAGCAGCCAAAGTTGTACTCATGCCACAGCAGGAATTACAACCCCCTGTTGCTTTTGGTGGGTGCTACCACCTTGTTCAGTCGAGACCCATTCAAGTAAATGGGGCCACTCTGCATGTGTCCCGTAACTGCATGCTTCTGTGGGGTCTGAGGAGTTAAAGCAGGTGGTGAGAAAGCAACACACCGATGCCTGTTTTAACCCCTTGTTTGCTGTACTGCACAAGGTTTCAGGGCACTTGCAGAACGGCCTCATTCACTTAAATAGGTCATGCTTGGCAGGTGCTACACCCACCAACCATGACAGGGCGTAGGAGTCGGCACTACAGAGGAGGCATGGGCTTATGCGGCTATCCCGCTCCCTACTACAGCGCCAACTTTACAAATAGTCCCTCTGCATTGCACTCTGATGCTCTGGGATGGTGGGTCAGAAAACCCTGACCGTGATCTACCAGTCATCGGGCCACAATCTACTGGTTGCTGACCCCCCACTATAGAGTTATTGATTTAGAAGTAATGATGGTATTAGATCAACCTTTCTCAATCTTTTCACAGAAGACCCTTTGAAATAACATTCCGGTCTCGGGAACTACTGCTAAAAATTTACTATATCTACAGCTCATGATACATTAGTGTGATGGTCAGTGGGAAGAATGTTCCTTACATTTGTGGTGTCATCGGGAAGAATTTCCCCCTTACAGATAGCTAAAAAGATCAATGGTGTCAGTGGGAACTTACCTGAGAGCCATAAATTGCTCATCGCTCAAGAAATTCCCAGCAACCTGTGGAGGAGCCTTAGGGTTCCATGGAGCCCTGGTTGAGAAACCCTGCTTTATAGGTTACAGGTGTTTGTTGGTCTAAACCAACACCTTGTTATTAAAGGAAGCACAAAAAAAGGAACAGATACAAATATATAGATTTCCTCTATGATCATTTTGTTTCTGATATAAATTAATATTCCTGTTTAAATTATTTTCTGTTTCTTTAGAGGACATCAAGAGGTTCTGCCACCAGCTGTCTCTGTATCAAGATTCATCACTGAGGCTGATATACGAGTAATTACAGAGATGATCTGATCTACATCCTGGAGAACTTGGATACAAAAAAAAAAAAGCTCTTCTCAGAGAACTAAAGATTCGGAATGTCTTAAACACAGATGTAAGATAATGATAGCAAAGACCTACCATGTGTTAACAAAAGCATGAAAAATTTTACAGACACCTATCAAATGTAAAATTCTCATTAAATGTATACAAGATCTTAAAATCCCTGGTCTGACCAACTTCCAGGACATGAGGCTGACCGCCTTCTCTTCTCCACTTGTTGCTTTTTAAAGCTCCAGGCAAATAGCTAATTTTATAGTTGATATACATACAGTACATTATTGTCTTTTACTATAAAGTGCTGTGTAAACTGTTGGCACTATATAAATTGTTTATAATAATTATGTTGGATCTGCGTTACCTGTCAAATGAATTATAAGTTTGTCCAATAAAGTCTTGAGATTTTCACAGAACATCCAGAAAGCAGAGCCAGACTGGTGACCTGACATTTCCTTTTGCAGTTAAAGTGATTCTAAAGGCTTATTTAAAATAAATAAATAAAAAATGACAAACATGTCTGTACTTACCTGTTGTATGTAATGGTTTTGCACAGAGCAGCCTGGATCCCTCTCTTCTTGGGTCCCCCTCTGGCGCTCGTGGCCCCTCCCCTCCTGTCGGGTGCCCCCACAGCAAGCAGCTTGCTATAGGGGCACCCGCTGCTCTGTGTATCCATTCACACATGGAGCGGCGGCTCAGCCCCACCCCTTCTTTCTTCTCATTGGCTCACTGGCTCAGCCAATAAGGAGAGGGAGCCTCGGGAGAGTCAAGACTCCAGTGCACATCGCTGGATCGAGAGGGGGCTTAGGTGAGCTGAGGGGGATGCTGCACATAGATGTTTTACCTTCATGCATAGAACGCATGAAGGTAAAAGACCTTGAGCCTATAAAACCACTTTAATTATTTCAGGTACTTATATAGCACTGTGAATTTATGCAGCGTTTTACATATATATATTGTACATTCACAGCAGCCCCTGCCCTCAAGGGGCTAACACTATAAGGTCCCAAACTCATACTAGGGCCAGTAGTTTTTCTACCAGTGGGAGGAAACTGGAGTACTCAGAGGAAACCTATGTAGCCACAGGGAGAACATACAAACTCCAGGCAGGTAGTGCCGTGTTTTGGATTTGAACCATTGACCCTAGTGCTGCCAGGCAAAAGTGCTAACCACTTAGCCACTGTGATGACCACTTAGACTCTTCCAGTCTACCTGTCACTTGTTTTGCTCTTACTGAGCAAGAAGTGTCCTCTGCTAACAATGGAAAACTCATACAAATGAGCGCAGAGAGGCCACTCCAGGTGGAAACATGTGAACAGTTAATCATGAGCTCACCACTGCTGCCTTGTTAATCATATGCATGATGAAGAGAACTGGGAAAAAAAGGCGCTGTGGAAAATGCTCTCAGACAAGCACCTTAGTGAAGGTGCATCTTTATTGGTGAGACAAAGTAGCAAATATAATAAAATTGACCAGCCTGAAGTGGACAATGTGACTCCAATGGACGGCCCGTCCGCTCTGAGGGGAGCTGAGATCAGAGAATGCTCCTGTTGGCTTCAAATCACGTGGTGTCAGCGTACCAGCGTCCTGGGTGGTGTCACCATGGCAAACTAAGGCAGTGTCCGGCGTTGGCTTCAGCTGGGAGCATATGTAGGGTTACCAAGACGACATGTTTCGCGCAGTTGCGCTTTGTCTCTGAGACTTGACAAAGTGCAACTGCCTAAGCGCCCACCTCGCGGGAGAACGCGCGAGGGGATCTGGTTTTGTGCCATAATAGCGCCAGCACACGACTGTGTCGTTTGAGACATTTTGTATGGTCATTCTGCCAGGGTTGAAGCGGTCGGGGTCTGATGTTACGTGTGGTTAGGGGTGCCAGGGAGTCTAGGGCAGCTGACAGTGAGTCATTGTACGCAGTAGTGGCCAGGTCAGGGCATGATAGTGGAAGGATACAGTCGTGCAGATGGTCAGCTGCCGAGTGGAGAGGGGCCGGGTTCAAGTTGCGGAGGTTACGGCTGGTGATGGTGTTTGACGGTTTGGGGGGGGGAGTTAGAGGAGGGGGAGATGGAGAACGAGAGGAGGTGGTGGTCAGAGAGAGGGAAGGGGGTGTTAGTGAAGTTGCGGAGGTACAGAGGTGGGAGAAAACGAGGTCCAGGGTGTTCCCATTGGTGTGGGTGGAGGACTGCGTGCACTGTGTGAGAGCGCGAAAGAGGATGTTAGGAGAAGGTGTTGGGAAGTGGCCGGGTTGTTGACATTGATGGGGATATTGAAATCCCCGAGGATGATGGTCGGTAGCTCAAAGGAGAGGAAGAAGGGAAGCCAGGCGGCAAAGTCATCCAGGAAGAGGGATACGGGTCCAGGAGGCCGATAGATTACTGCGATCCTCAGAGGGGTGGGAGAGAAGAGCCGGATGCAGTGGGCCTCAAAGGAGGAGAAGGATAGGGAGGGGGGGTTAGGGAGGACCTGGAAGGTGCTCAGCGGTGACAGGAGCATGCCGACCCCACCACCTCTGCGACCACTCGGTCTGGGTGAGTGGGTCCAGACGAGGCCTCCATAGGTGAGTGCTGCAGGGGAGGTGGAGTCAGTGGCTTGGATCCAGGTTTCGGTGACCGCTAGGAGGTTGAGAGAGTGGGAGACAAAGAGGTCATGGATGTCGGTGAGCTTGTTGCAAACCGAACGGGCGTTCAGGAGTGCAACCGAGAGAGGAGGGGTGGATGCGGGAGGAGGGGGACGGGTATAAGGTTGAGGGGGGGTTGCGGGAGCAGGAGGGTGCCTAGAGGGGAAGTGGGGAGGTGGGGGGCCAGGGTTTGGGGAGATGTCCCCGGCGGTTAGAAGGGTGAGGAAGGTGGCATGGGAACGGGATGTGCAGGTGCGTGTGGATCTGTTAGTGGTGGCGTGTGGGTCAGCGGGAGAGTGGAGTATCAGGAGGAGGTGGTGAGAGCCGTAGTGGGGAGAAGGAAGAAGTGAAGGAGCAATGTAGAGCTGTTGTGGGGGAGTAGGGGGGTAGAGGGAGGCGATTTTGGGAATAGAGGAGAGGAGTACGAGGAGGAGTGCAGGTGACATGTTAGGGTGAGCGGAGTGCTGGTCAGATCGGGGGAGGTGAAAGGTTTCACATCAGGGTGTGAAGATGCGGAGAGTCTGTCACATCATGGCGGAGTTCATCTGTGTCCATCTGTAGGAGGAGAGTAAGAGTGGTGGGCAGCTGGGTCAGCAGCTGGCCAGTTGCAGTCTGTGGTTGCTGTAGGCTGGCGACCGTGGGTGCTGTGGCACGGCGTCAGTGGGTACAGTGGCTCGGCAACTGGACGAGCTGTAGGGCGCGGTGTCTGGGGGTGTTGTAGGGCACGGTGTCTGAGGATGCTGACGGCTCGATGTCTGGAGGTGGTGTAGGCTGACATCTGGAGGTGGAGTGGGCTAGGCGTTGGTAGGTGCAGTAGGGCCCGGTGTTAGTGGGTGTTGTGGGCCAGTGCATGTGGATGCTGCGTGTCAGTGACTGAGGGTGCTAAGGGGCCCAGCATCTGTGGGAGCAGTAGGGTCCGGCGATCGTAGGTGTTGTAGGCCTGGCGTTAGTGGGTGCTGGAGGCCGCGTGGCAGGCTCGCCCCTGCCGGATTGGATGGGGCTCGGGGCTGTGCGGTGGCAGGGGCACGGCTGTGTGGTACACGGTGGGGAGCAGGGAAGCAGATCTGGTAGCAGTGGCTTACCCTCTCGGTGCCGGTGGCGGCTTACCCCTCTTGGTGCCGGTGGGGGTGGTTGCTGCTTCCTTCTCTCTGCAGCGGCTGTAGGTAGGGAAGGCGGTGGTGGTAGCTCCCCCCTAACTGGCACGGTTTGACTCACAGTCTAACCCCTAGATTGTTCAATAAGTGAATGGACTGCTGCTTTGTGCCTGGCTGCCTCTGCCTCAGCTGATGAGGAGAGGGAGTCCCGGGATAGTCGAGACTCCAGTGAACATCGCTGGATCGAGAGGGGGGGTTAGGTGAGTATTAAGGAGGGGGGGGGGGGGGGGGGGGGTGATGCACAGAGAAGGTTTTTTACCTTCATGCATAGAATACATCTTGAGCCTTTTAAAACCACTTTAAGCAAACTTGGTCACCACCCTACCCCCAGCCTATGATTGGACAACGAACAAGCAGAAGCTTGCTGAAGAACTAATTTCTCTGGTCATTCTTCTCTTGCCTTCAGTCAGTATGTAGCTTCTTATCAGGGGTGGACTGACCATTTGGAAACTCAGGAACTGCCCGAGGGCCCCCGGGGTCAGTAGGGGGTCCCATGAGATGGCCCTGGTACCTGGTACCTTTTTCATAGGCTTTTTTGAGTTTGGGCAAGGACACAGGGGCCCCATGATCCCCTATTGCCCGGGGGCCCCATGAGTTGTCAGTTCGCCCCTGCTTCTCATCATATATGAACTGCAACGCACTTGATTGGGTCTTAGGGCTGCCCCTTCTTCTCCCAGTATGGGGTTCTACTGTACAGGGGTTTATACTGTATAAAGCTGATATCCAGTCAAATTTAGAAATTGACATAGCTGTCTTTTAAAAGTACATTTTCAAAAAATATTTTTAATAAAATTCAAAACTACATAACACCTTTTTTTCCTTTATATCTGACTGAAGTTCAGCTTTAAGCTTTGGTTAAGCCCAGGTTCATGGACAGTTGTCATATTAGGCCCATCTGATTTTCTCTGAACTTACAGTAAGTAGGGTCAATTTTTGTTGCTTTGTCTAAATCTGTGCTAGAATAATTATGCAAAACACAAACTTTCGCTGACAAAATGAATTATATGAATATATGTACAAGGAGAATATGTCTATGTCTTAGAAATACAGGTCCATAAAAGAAGGACTGGGGGTTTCTGCCTTCGCTCACACCTTGTTACAAGATATTCAGGATCGGGGAAAAAGAAAAGCTGTGATTGGACTCTGGGAATGTCTCTATGCACTACGGAAAGATCATCCTCATCCTAATTTATTGGCCATTCTGCGAGAAATCAGCCTGACAGGTAACACTGCTTTATCTGCATTTAATTTTGCTTTTTGTTTAAGTCCATACACAGGAGGAAGTGGAGAGCGGATTTGCCTGGCAGGCTATGTAAGCCTACAAGTAACAGTAACCAGCAAACCTGTAATATGCCACCCCTGGTAGCCATGACACCTTAAGTCATGGCCTATTGGCTGTGTGAGTAATCCGGCCCTGGATACTGATTATAGCATTGGTTGTCAACTCTCAAGGTAAAGGGAGCCTTAAATGCAGACCTCAATATCTCTAAGGGTGCAGCATATAGTTAATGCTACAGAAAACTGTCACAGATGGAAGACTTGATGGAGGAAATGGTCAGAGATTGTTCTACAGAAGTCATGCTATAGGAAACAGTCAGAGACTAGGGACATGTGGCATGACACTAGACTTTACTACTATTAAGGCCCCTTTTACAAATCAATGCTCCCTCTACTGACTGCTGGGGTCCAAGGGCCACACTTCAAATATCAAAGGGCTGCATGAGTTCATACATGGACAAGGTTTTTTTTTAGTGATTTGTACTATTATTAGTGCACTCGATCGCCATAGATTCCCATTGAAAAGATAAGTTGCCTGTGGGAAGTTGTTTATCAGCCTTGTGAAGGCAGATGTCAAGTGTGAACAATTTATGAGTATTTACCTCAAAATGACTAAATAATCCCAAACTGGTAAATTCCTGCAGGTTAGGCACTGGGGGGTAACAGGGGGGGGGTGGGGGGTTTGGAAATGAATACAGTAACAAAAACCTTTTTTGTTTTTTTTGTTTTTTTTTTTTTTTTAATCAGGTCATTTTTAGTAAACAATTTTCCATTTAACAACGAAAAATTATACAGAAAAAATATTTCCACAGCAGAAGTAGAAATATTACTGAGA